GAGGGGGTGTCCAGTTGCCTACCGATGGGCTCTGAGTCTCCACTCTGTGCTCACCCACCTTTACAATATTTTTTGTTCTTTGATGTTTGATACCTGATCCTTTGACAGCTCGACACCTCATGATCACACAGGCTGTTGTGCTTCTTCCATGTGGGCTTTGTTGCTTCTGAGCTTGTTGGCCGCTTGTTTATCTTCAAGCCTTTAAGACCCCAGACGCTGTATCTTTTGATAGCCTGGCACCATCAGCTTTCTTCACCACCTTTGGTTATGCACACGTTTGTCTTCAGTGATCGTATCAGGAAGGTGGGCACCCACTGATCTGATTTTTAGTTCTTTGATGTCTGATAACTGGTCCCTTCTGCACCTTGTGGTCAGACAGGCTGGTGTGCTACTTCCATGTGGGCTTTGATGCTTCTGAGCTAGATGGCTGCTTGTTTATCTTCAAGCCTTTAAGACCCTAGATGCTATATCATTTGATAACTGGGCACCATTAGCTCTTCAGTGAGAGCCAACTTTTTAAAGTGACATAACTTTATATCCAAGTACAATCAAATGGCCACAACTAACTGGAGTGTGAATATGAAAGCTCTCAGAAGATTAAAAGGAGAGGGGCTAATGAATCCCAACTCCAAAGCTAACTTCCTCTTTAACATGTAATGAATCACAAGGGACTTCTTCCATGGACTACGCAAGTTTAGTGTGTGCAAATCCTTGTACTAGTATCACTACTATTGAAATTACTAGTAGCAATGGAACTATAGTGGGATTTGTTCAAAAGTCTTCATCCATCTCTTGCTGTAGAAAAAAAATTAATATTTGTGCAGAAAGTAGAACTATTTTAGAATCTGGAATTTCTGCATCTACAGATCCCATAAATAACAGAAATACAGATGCTGTTTTTCAGAATAATTTATCTTCTGATGAAAATAAATTATTGGATTGAAAGGGAGGCAAAAGATTGTCAACATCTCAGTGAACCATTTGAAAATTCCTGTTGACAATTTCTGGAGGATACACAAACAAAATTTTTGTAAGCAGAATATTTTCCTAGGGTGCAAAGCTAATATTGAAAGTTATAAGAAGGAGTGGTTTCTGGACTCTCCATCAGTCAGCTTGGTATATTATTTTGCTGGCAAACTATTCAGTCTTAAATCATTTAATTCTCAATATTCTATGGATGGATTTAGCAATTTAGCACAACTCAAATATGACTGAGAAACATGAAAACAGCTCAATTCATAGATATTGTATGTTGTCATGTTAAAACTGATGACATGATTTTGACTTGACTCGTGAAATGGAAGAGAAAAATAATGAAGAAGCCAGTACTGGAAAGCCAGTTTGCAACGTGTTATTGCTTTCATTACAGCAGTCACTGAATGTGGACTGTCTTGGAGAAAGAAATGAAGAGTTTGGATCACAGCAAAATGGAAATGTTGGGGTTTACATATTGCTCACTTAGATTCATTTTATCAGGACACAGCTCAAAATGTGACAACATGAGGAAGAGCAATCTCCCAAATTTTAACACACCATCATTGACACATTTGAATTTTGCATGAAAAGAAGAGTGAACATGCATCGAGTCTTTTAAGTAGATGTTCCCTTTTACAACGCAGGTACGCCTGATGGCAAATACAGAGAGGCATCCAAGAAGTTGATGCAGGTTTATCCCAAATACTTAAATATGAATCTTTGTGGAGAAGTGTGGCAATTTCATTCTCACTTGAGAAATAAGTTTCAGATTCGAGAAAGATAAATTTTGTTCATGAAGGCATGGATTCCATAACAAGATAAAATGTGTATTTCCCAATGTTGAAATGACTTTATATATATTCCTACCTGTTATTCCAGGCTGCCTGACAGAAGCATCATTTTTGTCCCTAAAAAGATAAAAAATTCTAAGTGTATGGCAATGATTCAAAAAGACTCTGTTCACTGCATTATGTGTGGAAACAGGTATTGTCCGACAGCTTAATTATGACAGAATCATTGAAGAATTTATAAGATCAAAAAACAGAGAGAAACATTTTTTTCATTACAATATGTTAGAGTTGGAAGCTTTATCTGAAAATGAGAGATGAGGGAAGTCTAAGAGTCCAGCTCCCAGGGTCCAGTCCATGCATGCATCGGTTTACTTCACATGAAATGTGTTTAAATATCTCTCTGCGATCAGTATGTGTATGCCAACAAGTGCGCTCAGCAATACACTTGTCTTAATCTCATGTAGGGTGCCTTGCCCACCCACCCAAAGGTTCAGTTAAAAAACTGGCAGCTGAGTGCTTCTGCAGGGTCAGTTGAAGGCAAGACAGAACGGTCAGCTCAGAAGCTTAGGGTGATGATTTTATAGGACTCCCAAGGGATGGTCTTGATGAATTTTCTCAGAGGACATGGGTCATTCATGAGGGATCATTAGGCAGAGGTTTTCAGGAAATTGAAAATGTCAACAATAAGGTGAAGGCCAGGAAAGTTGCTCCAAGGAATTGCCTCCCACCCCCCCAGTGCACCTGCTTATTCTTGGAATGTAGCAAGGGGTGTCCATCCATCCTGCAGACCTGGTCTTGCCCTGTCAGGCTTCTTTTTGTTCCCTTAAAACAAAGAACACAGAAAAGGAGGCTCGTTTGAACTCCTCTAGGAGCATCAGAACTGCCATTTGGCATGATGTAAATCAGTGGGTATGTGGGTCTCGACGACTTTGGGGTCGAACGACAGCCATGCCCTGAGCATAGAGTAATGCAGACCGACCAAGCCGGTGCTGAGCTTTGCCCCAACCGTCTCTCCCACCTGTGGTTTTCAAATGAATCGTGATTAAGCACCTCTTTCCCCATCACGCTGTTTTTCTAATAAAGAAAAGAAATAGGCGATTGTGTGAGTAGGAATGTCACAAGGGCCATCTGGCAATCCCGGCACCTTTTATCTTGGTATTTTCTCTGGAATTAGTTGTTTATCTCCCTGGTTCTAAAAGCTGACATCAAATATATTGCTAGCTAGGACTTACAGAGTTTAATAAAGGTATTTGGGGGTTCATCTCAGTTGAATCTATAATAACCATTCCTCGATAACAAAGAGTCATCATCTTGCTTTTTCTCATACACTTGAAAGTCTGTATTATGTTTTAAAAGAAATATCCAGTATTAACAATCTGTCTACAAAGTTTCTTACACAAGCATCAAATTGCATCTTCAATCTTAGTTTCCTCTGAAACTGCTTTTGTTTAAATACATATTATTACTCTATTTCCCTGCTTAATTTCCCCTCTTTTCTCTTATGTCCTTCACTTTCCTAGCAAAGTTTCCTGATAATTTCTTTGTGGTGTTATATATTTTTATGATCCTTTTATTTAAAAACTATTGTCAAATTTCTCTAAATCTTATTAGATTGGGCTAATTACTATATGTCCAAGCAAAATTGGCCCTCTCTATGTAGGTCATTTCTTTGCGTTAACCCTTCTTTGGGCTTGTGGGACAGGTAGTGAGCCCTGGCCTTGCCTCAGTGATAGGGCGTGATATGTGTTTGCACAGCCATCCCTGTACTTTATTCCCTGCACCAACAACCCTGGTGGAGATGCGTCTGAGAGCAGTCACGTCTGTACAACAAGCCAGTCCACCATTGTCTTGCCTCTTGCTTTTCTTCACTCTAGAGGTAAATAGGATCTGACGTAGCAGAAAGCAGAACTACCTGAATGCTGCTTCACTGGCTGCACCCCCAGTGAGGTTCTAAGGAAGATATGGTAGACAGCCAGAGAAGTAGCTAGCTATCTACCATCAAGTTGACTCCAATTCGTGGCAACCTCACACAGAGCAGAAGAAACATTGCCCAGCCCAGCATCGTTCTCACAATCACCAGCCTGTTCATATCACATACAGACACAAATAGACAGATAGACTCAAAGGACAGATCACAGTGGAAGAGACAATACCTGGACCCTTACTACGACTGGACCCTTCCTGATCATCATTCTCTAGGCCTGCTCTTCAATTGTGCCCCACACAGAAGAATCCCAGTGCTCCGCACCCTCACCGTTGTTGGGGGCTACACAGGGACAGGGTTGGGAAGATTTTTATCTGAACAACTGCTTTCGTTATTTAGGAACCAAACACCAGAATGTATAGCCCTCTAGGAAGGAAATATACCAGCATATCAGGCTCTGGATATGGGCTCAGAAAATCTGCGTTGGAGGGGTGATATGGAGCTGTGCTTTTCTGTATGAGAAATACAGGTCCTTAGACCCAAGAAACAATAATGACAAGGTCCATATTCATTTCAGGAAAGAAGCTTGGCTATACCTTCAACAATCAGAATTTCCACAACGTGTCCTTAGGGCAAGGACAGGAAGTGGTGGCTGAGGCTGCGCTGGACCTAGCTACCCAGAACGGTCACTGGGTGATTTTGCAGGTAGGTACGCTCCCTCTGCCCTGAGCTGCGGCTTCCTTGACTCAACATGCTTGGGCTTCAACCCACAAGCTCTGGCCTCTTCTGTCCACTCGGCCTTTTCTCTCACATTCTTGCCTCCTGATACTTCCTAATCGTCTCTATTTCCAATTGTACACACACACACACACACACACACACACCACCCCCACCCTCACCACCCCTCTTCTTCACCTCACCTGCCTGACTCCACTCTAGTTCAAATAGGTCTGCTTACAAATGGAGTCAGATTCCAACGTTGATAAATCTCTAGGAAGTTGGCATCCAGTTGAAGCCCTTGACACCTGGATTCCTCCAGTTGCTGATCTCACCTGTGCACATCGTCGGTTACATAACACATTCTTCATGAACATTACACAATTGAATAGAATGTGGAACTAAATGTAGCCTTTTCACTGAGAGTTCACGTGAATTTGGGGGACTCTAGAACACTCATTTATGAGAGAGAGAGAGAGAATCCCTCTTCTGATGTGGCCTCTCATCTAAAACCTTTTGTGTGTGATTGGAATGCACACTGGGGCTATGAACAGACAGGTGCTCTGTAACACTCTATAATCACCTCCAGTCCAGCATCCATTACACCCAAACACAAACCCACTGCTATGGAGCTGATTCCAACTCACAGCGACCCTATAGGACACCATAAGGTTTTTTATTTTGTATTTATAGAAACATCACTCTCTCATGGAGTTGCTGGAAGTTTGAACCACTGACCTTATGCTTAGCAGCCCAGCACCCATTGTTATGCTGAAATTATTTATTATGCGACTATGTCCTTCACTATATTTCCTTAGAGAAAGAAGTGTTCCTTACTTATCCCTTGGCACCCAACACAATGCCCTTGCACATAGTAGACACTCAAGAAAGGCCTGTTGAGTAAAAGATTCAATGAATAAACGAATGAATGAATGAAAGTACACGTGAATCACTCTCCTCCTTTCCAGGCTTTATCTTGCTAGTGGATCTTCAGCCAGAAGGATCCCATATTTATTCTGAGACTGGTCGGGGAGCAACCGGCCCTGCCTGGAGCTGCCTTCCCAGAAACAATGGTCATCTCGGGAGAAGAGCTGATGACAGCTCCAGTGTCCTCCCCGAGTGCAGCAGGCTGGGGGTGGTGGTCTGTTCAACCCTCTCGGGCTCTTTACTCCAGGACACCTGTCCTGTGCAAAATCACTGTGGGGAACTCAACCGCTCCAGGCTACAGGTCAGCGTCTTTCAGGAGACTGTGGCGCTGCCTGCGGAGTCCCCTCAGATAGCAAGCACAGAGGGTTCCCCGGCCCCAGTACCTGCTAACTATGAGGAGCCCCTGATCCGATGCTCACGTGCTTTCGGAGATCTCTGAAGATGTTACATGGAACTCCTTTTGCAAAGAAAACCCTTTCTCCTGTGAACGCCAAGTTAGCCGGATGTCCCATTGTCCTGCCACGGGAAGCATCTGAGCCCGGAATAGATGTCATCTGTCCATAATATACAGTACCGTCCCAAACACGAGCCTCTGCTGGCTTGTTTTCTCCTTCCCAGGACTTTCCGACACCCCGGTTTGAAGAATGTCCTGGGGTTCTGAGCGAGCCAAATCCCAAATCTTCCCATGTATGCTTCCCAATTAACAAGTTCCCTTTTCAAAATTCAGAAGATACTGCATACAAAAATCAATAGGTTAGTGGTTCTGAGAATCCTATGATATAGAAATCATAGTCAATCCATTTTTTGTGGAACACACTCTCTTTATTTTAAGGTCCTATTATGAATTGGGTGAAAATTTACAGAGAAGATCGTCAGTGTTATGTTCCACGGTGCATACAGTGTCAACTCATTCACTGCAGTCCCCCAGAGTATCATCACTTACCCCGCTTCCTCCAAGTGTCCTGTCTCCATCTGCCTCCTCTCCTGAGCGTGTACACATTTTCCTTGGATAAATGCTGTCCTTTGGATCTTTTTTTCCCCCACAGCATCTATTTTTTTCAATCATTTTATTGGGGGCTCGTACAGCTCTTATCACAGTCCATATACACATCCATTGTGTCAAGCACATTTGTATATATGTTGCCACTGTCATTTTCAAAACATTTTCCTTCTGCTTGAGCCCTTGGTATCAGCTCATTTTTTCCCTCCCTCCCTCCCTCATGAAAATTTATGAATTATTATTGACCGCTGTCTCCCTTCACCCACTTTTCTGTTGTGCATCCCCCCAGGGGGGGGCTGTATATGTCAATCATTGTAATCGGTTCCCCCTTTTTCCACTCCCCCACCTAGCCCCTACCCTTCTGGTATCAATACTCTCATATTAGCCCTGAGGGGTTCATCTGTCCTGGATTCCCTGTTTCCAGCTCTTATCTGTACCAGTGTACATGCTGTGGTCTAGCCAGATTTGTGAGGTAGAATTGGGGTCATGAAGGTGGGGTGGAGGGAGGAAGCATTAAAGAACTAGAGAAAAGTTGTATGTTTCCTCGATGCTATATTGTACCCTGACTGGCTCATCATTGCATCTTAAATGGTTGACTATGGGTGAGTTCAGTTCTGAAACTGGGGGGGATTAAGGACCATCTGTTTCTATGTGACCTGATCTCTGTTATGATTTGGGGTTTTGTTCCATATTTGGATCTAATATCTTTTTAACATCCTTGCCACACACTTTGGAAAATGCTGCTATAAGACCTTACCCACAGCAACTCGGCTTCCTTTGCTGGGAGAGCTGTCTTCTCCCAAGAACCCTGGGCTCAGACTCCCGCTTCTCCCTCCCCCTTCTCCCTTCCTAACTCCTGCAGCTGTGAGGTGAGTTGTCTACGCTTATAAATCCTATAGAGCAGCCTCGGGGGATCCTTGAATCCTTTCCTGGTTTCTGTCCCAGGGAAATGGAGCTGGCTGACCCACCTTGAAACACACCCCACCCACCTGCCCTACCCCCAGCACCCAGAATTGGGATTCTTAAAATAAGTTGCTGAGTTATTAATTTTTGAATTGTGCCACTGCTGACTTAGCAGGAATCCTGGGTGTCTTAGAAGTCCATGAAACTCTACACTCCAACAGAACAACTATCGCTGAATTCGTATTTAATAAAAAATTTCCATTTCAACAACTACTACTAACTCCTACATAGCACTGTACAGTATAAAAAGCTTTTTAAAGCCTGTAATCTTTGGTTTTTATTGTAGCAACTATGTGAAATAAGTCTGGCAAATATTATTTTATTTTCTCTTTCTATAGAAAAAATTATACTCAGATCCGGTGACTGTGGTCCAGGAAGTGGGCCCTGTGCTGCTTTGTGTGTTTATGGCTCTGGGAGCCAATATCCTCCAATATTTACAGATGAGCTTTTATCTACTCATCATAATGAAAGATGGCTCTGTAAAGCATAGTGACTATGCTTATTAAAGTAGAGGCACATCCTGCAAAGGCAGGTGTTGGACAATTAAGGTGCTTGAAATAGACAGACAGACAGATAGGAATCAGACTGGCAAGAAGATTGGGCTCAAGCACCAGAGATCAGCTTGGACTTGGAGTTGGCTCCCCTTTCTGGTTGAGGACAGCAATAATTTAGTATGTACTGGGGAGGTACGTTTGGCAACCATTGTCAGAATGGTATGGGGTGAGGGAGACATACTTCAGGGAAGCTAGCTAGACAGAGTTTAAGTCCTCATACTTTTCAAATGTTAATGTGCGTATGAATCTCTGGTGTATCTTATGAAAAGGTGTTATTTCAGTAAGGCCTGGGGCTAAGATTCCAAGTTTCTCAGCAGCCAACTTTGTTAGTCCCTGGGCCCAACTTTTAAGCACTGAGGGTTCACTAGCTGAGGTGTCCAGCAAGGGGGTTTGGGTTTGCAATGAAATACAAATTATGAGCCCCCGCCCCCCTAAGCCTCCTAATCTGAAACTCTAGCATATAACCCAGCAAGGGATGTTGTAATAAGCCTTCCAAGGTGATCCTCGTGTCCTTTCAAGTTTGAGAACAAGGTACTAGAGTTTGGATATCAAAGGGTAGGGCTGGACCAGGAATCCGAATGCTCGTGTTGCAATGTGACGTGTTTAAAGGCAAGACCAGAAGCCTCTTAGCTGCCTTTCTCAAAATTGTTTCCTGCAAACAGAATTAGGCAGATGCCTGGATGAGGTTGGGGGTGTGTGTGGTTTTTTTCCCTCTTCCCATCAGAACATCCACCTGGTGGCCAAGTGGCTCAGCACTCTGGAGAAGAAGCTGGAAGAGCACAGTGCGAGCAGCCACCCGGAATTCAGAGTCTTCATCAGCGCAGAGCCCGCGCCGTCCGTCGAAGGCCACATCATCCCCCAGGGCATCCTGGAGAACGCCATTAAAATCACCAACGAGCCGCCCACTGGCATGCATGCCAACCTGCACAAGGCCCTGGACAACTTCACTCAGGTACTGTCCTGGGGAGGAAGGAAGACCACCACCCACCTCACACAGAGCTGGTTCAAACCGAGGGGGAGAAGAGTATTCAACTAGAGGTGGGGGGTGGGCACTGACTAGAGCAATATAGAATGTGGCTATACAATGGTTGATCCTCCCTGTTTTCTACCAATAGAAATGTACTTCCCTCCTCCAAGATATGCATGCTCCCTTCCCCAATCTTGACTTGAAGTTCCAGTCAGGTCTGCCTATCACTCTGCTAGGAGTGTCTGTTACTGGGGTGACCTCAGCAGTTTGGTATGACAACTAAATGGTCATCTCCCCCCTGGTCTTGACCCAGATGCAGTGAAGGCTCCTCTGTGAGATGTACGGAGCGCAGGAGTGATGCATGCTTCACGGGGCTGGGCAGGCTCTCTACCGCGTTGCTCAGCAGACTGGGTTAAGGGACCTGGAAGCAGAAGCCTGCCTAACTGAACTCCTTTTATCACCACTGCTCTAATAACTGTTTGGGGACGATTATTTTATTCTGACTTTGATATTGAGTGTGCATCTGTCAGCCATTCCCAGAAGCTTACTGTGTGAGTTCTTTTGCTTGTGCTTAGAGGCATTTTTCAGCAGGACCTAATTTCTTCAAATGTATAAAAAATAACAAATGAAGCTTTCTACCCTTCTACAGAGAACGACCTTATTCAGGAAGCAGTCATTAAAATCTTGCTTGCTTGTCTACTGTGCCACCTCAGCCTTCTGGAGTCTGTGCCTTTGTAGCAAACCTGGTGCCCCCTGAAGGCTCTGCAGTGGCCCTGAAATATCCAGAGAGAAAATGGAGACCGTCTCGTGGATTCTTCATGGAAAATCGCACCTTATAAATACTTCACCTGTCTGTCTCCATATTCTTACTGTCCATGAGGATCAGTTACTATTGGAAAGTCCAGGACTGTGCCCAGCCCAAACGGCGTGAGCTCTGACAGTGCTGCCGCGTCTTTGTCTTTCTCCTCCTATAGCAAGTGGGATTCCCTCAGGAGAAATTTAAATTTTATTATTCTTCTTATTAATTATTGTTATTGTTTTAACTTAAGTTGATTTAATGGTCACTTCCTTATTAGTGCACATTTTTTCATTCTGATCAATAGAAGCTTCTTTCGGTCCTCTTGTTTGATATGACTCTGAAAGTCACTGAGAACTGCTGTGTATCTGTTATTGATTTTTAACTGAATTGTGGTGGATATATCTGTAACAGAACTTTGCTATTTCAGCAGTCTTCGCATGTACAATTCAGTGATGCTAATCACATTCATCAGCTTGTTTAATGATCACCATTATCCATTTCCCAAGATTTCACAGCACCCTCAATTGCTCAGTATTACTAAACAGGAAATCCCCCACTTCATCTCCCCCGCACTTAATTCTGACCACCACTGGTAAGCTTTGGTCCCCAAATCCCCAGTTGCTCTGACCCTAACAGCCCTTCAAAATGCTGCCTTCACTCTCACCAGGTATTACTACCACACACACACCAAAAAAATCCTACCATCCAATTCATTTCTGACTCATAGTCCCCCTACAGGACAGCGTAGAACTGCGTCTTAGGGTTTCCAAGAATGTAAACTTTTATAGAAGAAAACAGCCTCCTCTTTCTCCCCCAGGGACTGGCAGACCTGAACACTGAGCGAGCACTTAGCAGCTCAGCTCTGCACTCGCTGTGCAGCAGTGCTGCCAGGTCTCCCTTCAACCCAGCCATACAACTCCCTCGTTTCCTTTTCACCGCCCTTCTTTCATCCCCTCTTCATGGGACACATCTTCCCCCTCCCTTCCCTTCTTCCTCCATGGTCCCCTTTGTTCTGGTTGGCTCAGCTCCATCCTCTGGGCAGCCCACTCATTTTCTGCGCCACCACCACCACCCCCGCCCCACCTCCCCACCCCCCCAGTGGCTGGGGCAGGGGAGGGAGCAGTGCAGAACACTGCTCCCCTGCTGGTTTGTTGGTTCCCATCCTTCGCCTCATTTCCGCAGCTCCCTCTCAGATGAACTGGGGATTTCCAGACACACGGGCAGTAATTACACCTACTGGAACCCATGCTAGGCAAGAGAGGCATGGCAGCAGAGGAAGAAATCTGAGCTGATATTGTGGGAGTCCCCACCCACAACTCAGTGGAAAGTAATATTAGTATGACAAGCCTGCCACTCCCATGGCTCACTCTTCTGCTTTCCATATGCTTTGTTTGAGAACTTCATTGGTATGTCCATGTGTGCAAATCTGTGTGATAAACCAAGTCCTAAACCAAAATCTAAATGAAAATCCAGTCCCTCTGCAAGTTTACTTTAAGACTTGGCCCCATGGCCAGCCATAGGGAGTCTGTCATTTCAGTATAACCCAAATCCTAACCAGGATATGCCATAACGTTTCATCCAACACAAGGCTCAGTTATAACCCACACCCTCGCCTGAGCTGGGTACTAGGCTCTAGAGCTCGCACTGTAAGCAATGCTTTCCTTTCAGGACACTCTGGAGATGTGCTCCCGGGAGATGGAGTTCAAGAGCATCCTCTTTGCTCTTTGTTACTTCCATGCGGTGGTGGCAGAGAGACGAAAGTTTGGGTCCCAGGGATGGAACCGCTCTTACCCTTTTAACACGGGGGACCTCACCATCTCTGTGAATGTGCTCTACAACTTCCTGGAGGCCAACGCAAAGGTAAAGGAAGTGGGTGTATGTGGTGTATGTGTACATGCACACAGTACGTGGGTGTAAATGCACTTCCAAAAGGCGCACATCTCATAAGGAAGATGCAGAAGGGATGGGGTGAACGAACACTGAGTAAGATCTACACCCTACACAATGGCACGTAAAGCTGTGCAAAATCAACCAAGTGTCCAACTCTGGGACCAACTCAGCATGATGCCGTCAGAGTCAAAGTTCACAGAATCAAACAGATGCCGCAGGCCCTTGAGATCTCGACGTGAAGGCTTGTCTCCAGGCCCACTAAAACACCGCTGTGTGTGTGTAGCACTACAGGTGGGCTGTGGGTTGTCAGGAAGAGTCCCAACATTGATAGATGTAAGTTCCAATTTAATTGGCTAAGGAGACAAAACTCATCCAGGAACTTGGACACACAGCTCATCACATCGGTAAGATTTCGCTGAAGAAGAAGACATCTTGATACCACCCATGTCTTTTATTAGTCTCTGTCTGATATCTCCATACAACAACAGTAACAGCAAAATGCCCTACCAATTGATACTCTCCTATTTAAACAGATGCTCACAGCATCAAGGGTCTTCTAGTTCCTGGACCAAGTCACATCCTCTTCCCGGCAGGAAAATAAGTTAGGGTCAGGCAGCCTGCACAATCCCTCTGCTACCAGTCCCAGGGTCCTGGAAGACCCGTCTCCCCACAACATAGGCCCATCCCTTCATCAGTTTTGCTGCCACGAAGCTTTCCTCCGGTGGTTTCCCGTTGAGGTTGGCATGCCTTATTTAATGTCTTTGAATCTTTGAGAGGGACAATTAATTAATATGCTAAATCAATGGTAGAAAATTGGAAACGTGCCTTGGTCCTTGCTTTCCTCAGTGTGACCTTTGCTGACTAAAGGCACAGTAGGCCGGACTGACCCGATGTCACAGGCCAGGAAAGCCGGGTAGGCTCGCTGCCTCCCTCATCATTTGATGTGATTCGCCGAGCATGTAGCAAGCCCTCCAAACAGCCTGACCCTGCTGCCACAGAGGGTCCCCAGCTGAATATGACATTGCTGCTGTGCTCGCAGCCTGACCCTGCTGCCCCAGAGGGTCCCCAGCTGAATGAAATTGCTGCTGTGCTCGAGAAGCAGCCATGCCACGGCTCGTGTTCTGCCCCCACACCAGGCTGGGCGTAATGTCTGTGTGTCCATCTTGCTTCTTTTCCCCTTTCTCTCAGGTCCCCTATGATGATTTACGTTACCTTTTTGGCGAGATCATGTATGGAGGTCATATCACTGATGATTGGGACAGGAGACTCTGCAGAACCTACCTAGAGGAATTCATCCAACCAAAAATGTTAGAAGGAGAACTATCCCTGGCCCCGGGTTTCCCACTGCCAGGCAACATGGACTACAATGGTTATCATCAGGTAGGCTTTGCTCACTCCCTCTCATACCTCAATGGTGCCCCCACCTGTTGCCCTGTACCACTGGGGGTGCCGATCACAGATAACAGAAGCTCATGTTGGACTGGGGATGCTCATGGTGGTCTGGGAATTTCATACTGGATTAGAGATGCTCGTGCTGGACAAGAGCTTCCCATGCTGGGCCAGCTATGTTCATGCTAGCCTGGGGGCTTTCATGCTGGACATGACGTTCACTCTGGACTGGGCAGCTCATGCTGAGCTGAGGACACATATCCTAGGGTAGTGATGTTTACACTGGGCTGGGGCTACGCATGCTGGACAGCCCTTACAGCCAGAAGCCGGGGAAGAATGGCATAAAGAACTGAACTTATATCAAATTCGATTCATAGCCCCAAGTTTACCCTGTTCAAAATGAGAGCTATTGGATTTTTAACCTCAAATCAATGATAAGTGTGAGCCTTTGGAGAGCTTTTTATTCTTGTTGTTTGGTTCAATAGTTTTACTTGTTGCTTTTTTTCTACAAATAACATCTGGGGCAGTTATTTCGGTTGTTTTCATTCAGGATATTGACCAAATGATCAGAAGCAAAGATTTAACTAAGTTTAGCCAGCTTTTGGAAATTGCTAAATATTTTCAGAGGGACATGATCTTGTGGGCCAGTCACTCCTGCATCCTGTTGTCTGTTGCTTGCCATGAACGCTAGCACACATGCCCACGTACATCGACAACACAAAATTCCCTCCGTGCAGATATTTCTTCCTTTTACTTTGGCTTTTCTTTTTATTATAGTTACTCTGGCTATTTAAATGTTTCCAATCTATATGGAAACTACATCAAAGGATAAGGAGAAAACAGAAATGGTTCATGATGGCAGTGTAGTCAGACACCTCATAACATACCACATACAACAAAGGAAAACAAACAAATCAGAAGGAGATCCCAACTTTGGAGCACTGCACACCAACCTGAAGGCTGAAGAGTCAGAGTAAGTGCCGTGCAAAAGAAGAGACAGCACAAAAGCAGTGGGCGTGGAGAAATACAGATGATCAGGACTCTGGCAGCCAAACCCGACCAGGGTGACCATATTGAGAAAACGCAGTAAGCATTCACAGCCAAAGCCCCCATCACCTGCTAGTTCCAAGGATGACTACCCCCCCACACACACACACACAAACACACACACACACACACACACACAGAACTAGTCAGGTGTGCTCCTCCTCCAGAGAGAGTTAAGTGCAATCACTATGCACACACCAACCCGCAATGCCGAAGGCTTTTGGACCTGCAGTGCCCCCCACTGCCCTCATACACCCCCTCCACATATGATAGATAGTGGCAACAACCACGGACCCACCCTCTGCACCAGGGCTCTGCGGCACCCACTCTGAGCAGACATCTACATCAGGGACCCAGAAACAGTGTTACCTGCATCTCCATCAGGCCACCTATATTGGGTGCTTACTTCTTCACTAAGCCATCGACTACACCAGAGGCCCTTCCTTTGCCTAGCCATCTATCCCAGAACCAGCAGACCAACAGCACTTACTACCCCACCCAAGCACCAGTGCTGGAGACTCACAGACTGGTGGTATTCCCTCCTTCGCCCAGACACTACACAGGGACTCCCCAAAGCAACAGCATCCATTCATCCACTAAAGTAACAACCATGCAAGGGACCTGCAGCCTGATGGCACAAACTGCCCCATACTACCCTCTAGCAGACAGGAGACGCATCCTTTGAGAATACACTCATAGACTAGTGGGACTCCCATATCCTGTACAGCCCCTCCTGCAAACGTAGGCTGATGCACACCCACTTCATCTTTCCCCACACAGCCCCACTTGCCCAGGACCAGCACCTAACTAATGACCAGCGAGGAGAACACTCCCTGCCCCAGGTCATCAGCAATATCAGTCACATCCAACAGTTATACACCTGCCAAGTGAGGAGCAGCAGACCCTGGGGCTCACATCTAACATACATCCAGCTGTAACAGCACATGTTCCATACCTAACTAGTTTCTGCAAGCCACCTGCCAAACCAAACCAAACTCACTTTCATGGGGTCTAGTCTGACTCATTCAAACCCTATAGGACAGAATAGAACTGCCCCTGTGAGTTTCAGAGATTGTAGCTCTTCACAGGAGTAGAAAGTCCCGTCTTCTGCCCACAGAGCTGGCTGGTGGTTTTGAACTGCAGACTTCGTGACACTGCCACTGAAATTCCTTAATGCCACACCTCCTACTAAGATGCCTCGTTACCCATTTGTGTAGCACTCTCTCCTAACAGATACAGAGACAGCTTTCCCTGACCTCGTGATAATTCACCCTTTGGTAGAATTCTACCACTAAACTCAATGCCCCAGAGACAGCAGACAATAAGAAATCACTTGAGGGGGGAAAAAGAACAAAACGAGATAGCTCAAACAAGTAAGCTGAATAAAGGGGCTTCCTGAGGAAGAAATGGCAATGGAATGACTTAAGAAATTCAAGATTTATATATAGGATCCTCAAAGAAATCAAGGAAAACACAAACAAACCCCATAAGAATTCAGGAAGCAATATAAACACTAAATGACAAAATAAACATACAACTAAAGACCATGCAAAAACAAGTATTAATTTACAATATTAATAGTAAAATATCAAAAATAGACAACTCTATAGAAGGGTATCGAAGTAGAATTAAACCAATGTCTGGATAAATTGATGAAATAAAGGACAAATAACTGGATACTAATTTTTTGAGCATCAGTAAAAACAATGAAGAAGGCCTAAGTTATGTGGGACACTATCAAATGGAAAAAATGTATTCATGCTTGGAATTCCAGAGTAGGAGGAAAATGGGGGGTGGGTGTGAAGGATAGGAAGCACATAGGGAATTATGGAAGATATATTGGCAGAAATTTTTTCGAAGATTTCCATTCAGAAAGCTGAGTGAACCCCATATAAGACAGACCTCAAAAGAAACTCACTGACACATACCATAATCAAACTTTCCAAAACCATAAACAAAGAAAGAATTCTTAGAGCAACAGGTAGAAAACAAAACATCAATTACAAAGGGACACTAATAAGACTAAGCACAGTGCAGAAACCATGGAAGCAAGAAGGCACTGGAGTGATAGATATATATGGATATATACATATAGACTCTGAAAGGAAATTTTAAAAACAACCAAGAATCATACATTCAGATAAACTGTCTTTCAAATACAATGCTAAAAATAGGGCATTCCTAGATAAACATAAATTAAGGGGATCTATAAAAACCAGACCAGCCTTAAAAGAAATATTAAAGGAAATCCTCTGGACAGAGAATTAATAACATCAAACAACATTCTTAGGTGAAGACATGTGACAACATCACCCAGAGACTCATCTAGGTTTTCAAAAATCCCACAAAGCAAAATAGAGCTGCAAAACTAAGCTAGAGAACTAGAAATGTCACCCTGCAAAGGGCACGAGCTCCAAACCAAAAGGGGTGAGGATAAAGTGGTGCAGTTACAGAACTTCCATGTAGAGAGGAGTCAAGGAAAGACAGAGACAACAGACTATTTTAAACATAGGAAAATAAAGGCAAATTTCAGAGTGACTATAAACAAAATTCATAAAAATACTCACCAACATAAAATCAACAGCAATGAAAAAAATTAAAAGAAACAAAAATATTTCAGTACGCACACAGAGCAGTTTGTTAACACCACACACATACACACACACACACACAAAGTGTTAAATAATTACAGCAGCAAATTCATGTCCATTATTAATTACACTGAACGTACATGTATGTTGTTTAAATGAATACATATAATTTCTAATGTGGTTCTTTTCCTTTGCTTTATATAGGTGGGGAATTATACTTATTAATCTACAAATGTTGACAATCTAAATGCCCATTAGTGGAAGTATGGATAAATGAGATTTCACATAAAACACAGTAAAATACTTTTTAATTTCTTGATTTTGAACATGCATACAGAACTCTTGGCTAAAAATTTAAAATAGTTACTGGTCATACTCAACAACTCAACTCACTGACATGGAGTTGATTGGAATTCAGTGACCCTGCATGACAGAACAGAACTGCCCCTGTGCATTTCTAAGACTGAAATTTTCATAGGCGTGGGAATCCTCAACCTTCTCCCAAGAAGTAGCTCATGGTTTCAAACTGCTGACCCAACGCATATCACATTTCACCACAGGCTTCCTTGTACTAGTCATAAGGACGCGAACTACGAAGTTAGATTTCTGTAATTCCGGAAATTTGAGAGTGGGCTGTGAGAGTCATCTGAGCCAAGGACATGGAATCGACATGAAGAAATGAAAGCGTTAAGCCTTTTAAAAGGAAATAAGAGTTTTTAACAACACATTCTAAAGGCTTTAAAGCTTTACCAAGAAAAGGGAACAATTCACAGGAGGTTGGTGTGGGTGATGGACATGTTGAATAAGAAGAATCCTTAAGAAAAGCTGTCTGGTTCTCCATTTTGATCAAAGATTCTACAGAAGAATCCAGACCCCAAGAGGGGCAGGTCACATAGTAGGGAGAGAAAGGAATGTCAAGGTGAAAAGATTGAAGCACAGAGAAGCTTAGGCACAAATAACAGGTAGACATCAGCCTTGGTGAAGGACAGTGGGATGTCACACTCCCATCTGCAGCAGGAAGACTCTACCAAGGAGCAGTAAGAAGGGTGCGGTTGGAGACAGGCGGCAGGCACTTATCTAAGCTTCCTGAAAGAGACAAGGATAAGATGACTGTGGGAGTTCTGGAAGACTCTAGCACACGGGGGATGTCAAGGGAGCACTGGACAAAGTGTGCACTCACATGCTGAAGTCTGACTCCCTGGGTGGTGGAAACATTTATGATGCACGATTACTAATTGAGAGATTGTTAGCTCAGATCCACCCAAACAGTTGTTGGAAGAAGAGCCTACTGGTCTACTTTTGAAAACTCAGTCATTAAGAACTCCGCGGAGCACAGTTCCACTGAGACACACACACATGGGGTTGCCATGAGCTGGAGTTGAACAACTGATAAGAGGAAACCATTTTAGATTGGCCCATCTGGAGGACCAAAGAGACACTGCAGCCTGAGGCCTGGTCTGCTCACTGACTGTCCTTCAGAGGACAAGAAGTATGGGAGATGGGAGCGACACCTGGGTTCTTTCTGAGTGCTTCCTCCCTTGATTTTCAGTACATTGATGCCAAGCTGCCTCCGGAGTCTCCCTATCTTTATGGCCTCCACCCAAACTCAGAGATTGGCTTCTTGACCCAAACCTCAGAGAAGCTCTTCCGCACTGTGCTAGAGCTGCAGCCTCGGAACAGCCGTGCTGGAGACGGAGCAGGAGCCACAAGAGAAGAAAAGGTGCGTGGAGTTGTGGTCTGGGGTCATTCTGAGAGCCCAAGTCTGGTGGATAGAGACTTCCTCCTCCTGGCTCTTTGGGCATGTATGCATGCCTTCCTTAGCACCCAGAGGATCCTGCCTGGAGAGACTGCTCTCTCATCCAGGAGCCCCTCACCCTTCCCTCAGACAGGTCACCACACCAGTCATCTGCTTGCTGTCATGGGAAGTCCCTGCCATTGGGTTGGCAGCTTGCTTTGCCTGCCCAACCAAAGTCATGTTTTCTTCGGGTCCCCAGACTTGTCTGCAAAGGTGAAGAAAGAGCAGAGCTGGGCCATGGCTGGTTTGGGAACCTTAGCACTGACTCCATCACCCCAAAATCTAAAGGACGATGGTGGGGAGCTGCTCCCAAACTCTTCCACTTACAGTCTACCAACTAGATGTTCATGTTAATCAGTGCACTCGTGTTCAAAGTGAAAATCCCATCTCTTTGTGCAAATGGGCTTTTAGTCAGTGAATCTCTTAACACACAGCTAGGTGCCAAAGCAGCCAGAATTTGTTGAAACGTCAGGACTGTAGTGGGGATTGAATCCACCCAGAGGCACCTTGGAAGGTGGGCCAAGTGACCTATTTTTGAAAACTCAGTCATTAACAACACTGTGGAGCACAGTTCCCTTGGTATATGGAAGTCACTAGTGTTGGCCCACCTGGAATAGAAAACGCGAACAGGTTGACGTGTGAGTTTTAGAACAACCAGAAGACACTTTGAAGGCCCTGCAGAAAAGAAAGAGGGCACCAAAGTCAAACTTCTCAGTGAGACATTTCCCCACATTGAGTACATACAATTTCCTTTTTTTTCTTTTACCTCCACTGCCCCACAATTCTGCAGATTCCTTTCACTAGACTTTGGATTTATAAGGAAACTACTGTGAGTTGGGTTGGGAAGGCTGTGGTTCTCAAACGTCTAAGCTGCAATCTGATGAATACTAAAGAATTTGGACTTTTGTTTAAAGGTATAAAGTGGTGCCATTAGAAGAGTAGTTCTTGAATTTTAATCTGCCAAAGCCTGAGCAAAGTCGCCTGGAAAGCTGATGTTTAGATTCGGGGATTTGTATGCTAGCTGATTGTGAAACAGACGACCATACTTTGAGAAAGCTGCTGTGAGCTGCATTACTCAGTTCATCGCACTATGTCATTTATCAGCTACACTTTGAGACTACAGGAAGGGGAAATTTTTATATTCTGTAGAACCCAAACCACCCAGAATGAAAAGCATTCCTAATTGTAAAAATGAAAAGAGCTAGAAGACTATATTAATAAGAGACTATTCCAAACGCTTGTAGGAAAAAAATCCATGATATTTTCCACTTTTCTACAAACTTTTTGAAGGCTTTGGTTGTCTCTGAGTGGCACAAACAGTTAAGTGTCTGACAACTAGCTAAAAGGTTGGCCATTTGAATCCACCTGCTGTGATAATTTATTTTAGAAGACTTAATAACAGACTAGTCCAAAGGAGTTGGAGATTAAGGATGTCCAGATGTGCCACTCTTGTTCTTCTCCATTTTCCTCCCACTCCTCCCTCGAGTATATTCTCTTGAATCCCTGGGTTCTGAAATTCAAAGCACTGCCCCAGAGAAACTCATAAAAGTTTAAGGAAATGTCTCACATGGTGGTTGATGCTGTTCAGTCCAAAAGTTTTTTTAATCATTTTATTGGGGGCTCATACAACTCTTACCACAATCCATACATCTATCCATTGTGTCAAGCACATTTGTACATTT